AATGAGGATAACGTATATAAAGCCTTTTGAAAAGACCTGGAATACCCATTTTTTTAAAAAAAATTTTTTTGATAATTTCGATAAGTGGATGATCGCACAAATATTACGCCCAGATATATATTTATTATATTAATAACAGAAAGTTTTACAAATTTACACAAACACACAAAAAAACCTTTTTTTTTTTTTTTTTTGAATTTTGAAATATAATTAAAATATATAAATATATTAAACGAAAATAAAAAATGTCAAAGACATCAGAGGTAGTGGTAGATGCAAGATGTGAAGTAAAGGGGAAAATTGGAACAGTACGTTACGTAGGACATACCTCTTTTGCATCTGGAAAATGGGTTGGGGTAGAATTAGATGAACCATCAGGAAAAAATGATGGCTCGGTCGACGGCACGCATTACTTTGATTGTAGACCAAACCATGGTGTTTTTTTTAGAGCGTCACAAGTTAGACTATTAAGTGAGCCAATTACTTTACAACAAACTCAGGTATAGTATTTTAAAATTGGTTTTTTCCGATATATAAATAAGTAAATAACAAATAAATAAATTTGTAAATGTATAGTCACAAACAAATTTTGCTCCACCGAACGAAATAAATGGCGTTCGATCAATTCGTCCACCTTCAATAGTAGGTCTATCAAAATTAAATAATGGTACTGCTGCATCAGGAATACCTAGTAGGCAATCAACAAAAGGGCCAAATACGCCAACAAATCCAAGATATAGTCTTCGTAGAATGAGTGGTCAATCATTTACCAGAAGGTCAAGAGGAAATTCTGATGCAAGTAGCATAGATGGCAGAAAATTTGACATTGATTCTTTGGAATATGATGAAGATATGTCAGAGATGAATGACAGTAATATTTTGACTGAAGAATCGGAATCTTTTGAATTTAGCGAATCAGATCTCATCAACTCTTTATCATTTAAACAAGATTCTAATAATAGGTCAGATATGCCACAAAGACCAGAATCAATGATTTTCCAAGACCCATTTTCTTTACAAGAAACATCTGCTACACGTGAACAGGTTTTAAATTATTATAATTTTTGTTTAATGTTTATTATTTAAATATACCATATTCATGCTCAAAATCATATGTATATATGATTTATATAGACTATCCCATTGAAAGATTATGAAGAATTAAGGTTAAAACTTAAAATATTAGAAAATAAACGTCAAGATGATCGCGAAAAGTTTCGTGAAAACGAAAAATTGAGAGCCGAAGCTGAAAAATTTTTAAATGTCAAGCCAAAACTTAAAGGTAAGAAATAAAATATTTATTTCAGCATATAAATTCACGTATATATATATATATCTATATATGTG